GATGCGTGTGTGTCTGTATCATACTGTGTTTTTTCTCAATATTATTTATCGTTAACGATTTCGACGACGTTGAGGGCTCTCGGAGCTACTACGGGCTTTACATATGCATGTAGCACCAGGATTTGAAGTGTGGGAAGCAAAAGGCAACTATTTTATTTGTCTTCAACACACTTGCATAGCGTAAACTCTGATATATTGAGTAGCAACTCTGGATGGGATGGTCTAGCAATGGCAAATTCAATTGCATGAGGTTGTACAAGATAGATTTTCATAAATCGCACTGACAAATTTTAAAGCATGGGAATTTGTGGATCATCGCAAACCATTGAAACGTCTTATAAGCATTAGCAGAAATTGAACCAAACTGATTATAGTCAACCTCTTGATCCACGATAACTTTTGTTGCAAGATAATGGAGTTTGTGGCCGTGACATTCATATTTAGTGCTCGAAATTAAACTGTGGACACGGAAGAGGCACACTCCCCAACACTATTTTGGTAACTCTATAGCACCTGCTTCTCTTCCTAGCCATGAGTAGTCGCTGCCGATGTAGCTTGATTAGCTCCTCTCCTGGATCATTGCCGACACACATTCCGGTAGCCTCCCTTGTGGCTGGAGATGATCGAACCTGCACAATATTAATCTTCAGTTCTGTATTTTGCTTTATGTTGAATATAAAGCGAATAGTTAATGATGAAGATCAAAGTCGGGATGGAGAATATTATCAGGGGATGGATTTTTTACGATTCACGTTTCCGTGAACTTTATCGAAACGAACATTTAAGAGATGAATACATGAAGTTCCAAATGCTACATATTTATGATTTATCGCGGGCAAGACTCTCGTTGCGATTTAGACCATCAGCACCAATCAGTTTGAAATAATAATTTCGCGAGTTATTTAGCTTTAAAATCACTTGTTTGCTTGAATCGCAAGTTAACCAGGAATTTAAAAGCAAAGAAAATACCACAAAAATTCACCATATCTTTATAAGAGAAAACGAATTCGTTTTCTCTTATAAAGATATGGTGAATTTTTGTGGTATTTTCTTTGCTTTTAAATTCCTGGTTATTTAGCTTTATTTTGCTATCGGCCAAAAAAATTTACTCTGAACATAATATCAATTTTCAGCCGCTTGTCGACTTCAACAGTCTAAAATCGACACCAAACTTTTCTTTTATTATCTTGAGGCAATTTGTAATGTAAAAATGAGGCTTCAGCTGGAGTAATGATAATTTTTTCCGATATCAGTAGTCATTGCATTCATTAATACGAATTACATTTAAAAATAAGATAGATTAAAGATTCCGTCGTTAATCTTCTTCCTTTATTCGTTCGCTGGAATTAGTTGTCGGAGCAATCGTCATCTACTTAAAGTGCATTCGATTTATGTATAAGTGAGAAATATTATTTTTATTGGTGACACACAGAAATTTATTTTTTATATATAAAAAATGATGTTACAAGCCTTTTAGGGGCTTAATTGGCTTATGATTTAACAAACACGAAATTTTGATCTCATTTTCCACACGAGTCATCCTGCCGATTAACGTGTTATGTTATTATGTATTTATCGTTTGTCGTTAATGATCTCTGCAACCAAATAGGCAAGCGAAATATTGAGCAGAAGTTGGTATAATGTAGCCATGTGAGCTATGCTACCAGTTATATTTCAATTCAGATCAAGTAAACTTCAGAATTCATAGTACAAATTTTGTCAAAAGTAGCGAAAACCTACACTTGGTCTACAAACCAAGGAATGGCATAGCGTCAAACGAAATTTTCGAATATACGTGACAGAATAAAAATTTGTATTTAAAACAATGGATGCGTATACGCACACGAGCCGTGTTGGTGTTGGCAAGATGAAGTCGTCTGAAGAGTGCCATGGGACGATGTGCGTAGACACTGCGGACCTCGCTCATCTGTAAAGTTATGACCAAAGTTACAATTAAAATATCCAATTCATCAGGACATTTCTGCTAAATTCGCTCATACAATTTTCTATTTGTAATTAAAAATTTCCATGCATGTAGTTAGACTAAGCTTAAATCTAAAACAGAATGAATTACAAGTGGTTTTTCGTCTCTAACCTCAACCTTTTGGAAATTTTTTGTCATTTCCCGACTCATTTCTTCACAAGGCCTCAGACGAGTAGTTTTTGGAGCTGTCAAGTTGTGCGTTGAGTGAACCCTGTTATTAAACCTTCTCTGATCGTCCTCCCTGCCGTTTATTTGTTTCTTTTTATGCACCAGCTCCTGCTGAACTTGATCTTCTGATCCTGGCTCAAAGCTTGATAATAATTTGATACTCTTTCGTTTTGGATTACTCCTCCGGAGAATTGAAGGCCTACATGGTTTGAATTCGACAAAAGGGGTTAGAGTTGATGGCTCGCGCGAAAGATGGATAGATTTTAAGGTCTGGGACGGACGGGAGACGGATGAAGAGCCTCCCTTGGTATTGCTGCTCCCCGCCATCACAGGACATGGTTCTTGTCGCCACGCCAGACTTCCTCCATGGTCTTGCCCCATGTAATCATCCATTTTGAAATGCTCTTAAATTCAATCACAATCACCTAACTGCAGTTCTAAATTACATATTTAAATTTCAGTTCGTTATATCGACTTAGAATTATTTAGTAACGTCAGGTATTTGCAAGGCCATTAATGGTAAAAAAATCCATTATTGTCCGATGAAAAACGGTAGGAGAATGGTTTTTCTAGTCATGCCAACCAATCAAGGAATTAGCTTAAAATGATCGAATTTTCATAAAATGTATCTTTTACTTTGAATTCCTTTGGAATCGTAGCTTAGTTCTCCTAGCGATGCGAGTCAGTCCCAAAATCACCCAAATGCACCTAAGCAACACTGAGTCCTAACCTGCGACTCAACGTTGCCATAGTTACCGGTAAATAGCTGCCATAGCTACTGGTGCCATAGTTATCGGAATGGTTACCATAACAACACATCTTTAAGAATATTCGTGGCTTTCGAGTTACATTGACTTTCCTATTTTTAAATAAAAAATGGAATATAAAAATGAGATAAGAGGCTCTCTAATTCCGTTTAATTTTCACGTACCAGGAGTACACCAGTTAAGTAATATGGATGCCAGAATTTTAATTCGTAAGATGTTATATAATATTATTGTCTTAAAGAAGAAAATCAAGTAAAGTGGCAATTAAAGTCTCTCGTTTGACCCTTCTAGCATTTCTGAGTCAGGATGAACTTCGACGCAATACTGAACGGATTTGTTTGAATGTTGAAATATAAGTAGTTTTTATCAATACGCTGCGGTAGGAATTATTACAGATTTTTACATTAATTCGTTTTCAATTAAAAAGTATAAACGCATTTATAAAGCAACCATAATTATTCATAAGTCGTTAAATACTGAACGGATTTGTTTGAATTTTGGAGTTCCAAAAAATAAGTTCCATAATAATTGAGAACGAATTAATGTAAAAATTTGTAATAATTCATACCCCAACGTATAATAATAACCACTTATATTTTAAAATTCAAGCAAATCCGTTCAGTATTGCCTATTCTTCAAACGAAATATTCTACAATTCAATATTTATTTTTTAGTTGCATGGATTTTTGTTGTTGTAGACTTGTTCATCATTTGGACTTCATTATAGTTATTCGACTAACAACCACGACATTGAGACCGTCTCACCCATGGTTGAAATAATACAGTATTATTTCAACCATGGTCTCACCTGCCACCTACAGTCTGGAGGACAAGACCGTCTCTTAACCCCTTGAGACAAGCTTGAGACCGTCCCTCACAAGACCGTCACTCGCTATGTGCTGGAGGAACCCACCAGCATCGTCATCATGCAGTGGCGCCCAATATTAACCGACCGTCGATTGTTGGCCGATTCCAGCTAACTGTTTGCAAACTACCGAAATTGTCTGAACTTTGTGATAGTTTGCAGAGTCATTTTCCATTTAAAATTTCCTTTTTGTATCCTATTTATATGTATTATGTGCTTATGTCCACGAAATTTCATTCATCAATGTTTCTATTAAATTGGAAATGATACATTCGAAACGTAGTTATATACATTGTAAATCTTTGCTGAGACATGCCTTTTGATCTATTAACGTCATCTGAAGAATTTTCATTCCCTGCAAATTCGAATATAATGCACTCTCTGGTCATTAGTCGTACGTATTTCAGCGAGAAAATTCTGACATCTAATGCTAATATATATATTAATATATATAATTCGTTCATAATTTTGGCCCATAAGTGTTTGAACGTTTTTTTTTGCCTCCCGGAACTCCTATGTGTTTTTTCATATATAACCGGAATGTTTAGTAAGAAATCTTTGCTCGCTTTTACTTCGTTTGGTCGTCGGTCTGTTTAATCAGAATGGTTGTAAAACGATCGGCTGCAGCTCTGTCGCAGAGTGCTCTTTGCAATGCATGAGCCTGTAAATTTATTTCAAGGAAGTACGTTAAAAATACCCGACCGATCGGTTCAAAAATATCGGAGTTATGAGCTGGGCATATGCAGCTTATGTGCTTTTTTGTATTTGAATCCCCGAATCACAGTTGACGATTCGGTACGAGGATGAACGAAAAATACTATCGGAAAAAACTATTCATAAGTCAAATCGTTTCACGAGTATAGGAAAATTTGTATTAACATTTGGTCTGAAACTAATTTTACCACATTATACTTTACGTGATAAATTGTTGAATCGGTAAGATTTTAATTTTATTATCTTCACTGTTTTTAGTTAATTAAAAACTAGATATCAGGCAATCTACTACTGCAATGTCTCGTTAATAATTGATTTTTTGACTAAAATGATAAAGTAAAGTTTTATGTTCAGTTATTTGGGACTATTTTTAGTTACTTTTTATCCAATTTCATGTTTTGTTATTCAGTTCCAAGCGTCTAATCATCGGGTGCAAGTTTTTTTACGCGGATCAGTAACGTCGCCTTTGGCATTCTCCTGTCTACGCTTTTTCTCATTCTGCATCTGCAAATGCCATACTCGGTTCACTTCGTTGAGAGTCTCAGTGGCGTAAGGTCGACGAAGTCCGTGCAATTTGTTGACATTAAGGATTCACTCCGTTCCTTAGTTATTCATCATGTCTACTGAAACTGTGAGTTAATTTACTATCTTTTATTTAGTAATTATGCAAATTTACTTATTGATTTCAATCGCTAAACGTAGATTTATGTTATTGTAGGATTTGTAGCTTCAACAAAGCCACTTTTAGCTTCCAAGCCTTTGACTCAGGCCTTTGAGGTTCGGATGTTGCTATGCGTTGCTGTTTGCAGCGTTAACTCGGTGCCGATCACCGCCGGTTAGCTGTATTTAATAAACATCCACCCACAAGTGTTATTTTTTCTTTTCATCTTTTGATTATCTAAACTTTAAAGCCATTAGCCAATAAGGGATTCTTTGGGAGATTTTTCAAAAGCATTGAGCCTTACATTTGAGTGATATGTAATAGGCCTAATTAAAATTAATTAGTGATAGATTTTTTGAAAATCACTGGTGAAAATGGTGATCACGTGCTATTTTAATCAATTTGCAATTAGTTTCAATACTCATGGGCCATAATTGAAGAACTAGGCTATAAGGCTAATACTAAACAACATTACAACAAATGCTACAGAAATTGTCCAAAGTCATTTATTATAGTCATGGTGGCTCAGATCTGTGTAGCTTTTGTTCAATATTTTATTCAGGTTCTCTGGTTCATAACTATTCCAAGAGGCATGAGATAGGAATTTGCAACAGTTTCTAAACTTTCTATCATTCTAGCCTTCTAGGTATGTCATGTTGATGCCTTCATTGCCTTGATTGTGAATCACATCACACATTCACAGGAATCTGCAGCTATTTTTCTATTCTTGTTGCAAATTTGCAATTGCTGTTGGTACTTGAAGAATACTTTTTATTTCTGTATAATTTTTTTTTCTCAAATGCAATTGTTTGAAGACTATGTCTTGATAGGATTTTTATAAATTTCAAATGCAAATAAATTTTCCAACCTTTAGGCTAAGTTTAGGCAGGCAAGTTGTCATGTGTGTATAATTAAAATATTTATCAAGATAGGCCATAAGGCCAACCACAGGCTACCTCTGTCTTGTGTTGAGGCTTCAGTATAATAAAACAGCATCATGCTTGTGCCAAATTGCCAATAACCTATCAACTACCCATTATTTTTCACATTAGAATCACCATTTCCCCTTTATTGAAATCACAGAATATGCATCTCTTCTTCAATTATCACCAATAACTTGATGATATTGATGTTTAATTATTGATAATAACTAATAATCTAATAATGATAATTTGATAAAAAATGACAATAATTTGTGCAATATATAATGTATTATGTTCAATTTTTCAAGTTACTTTGTGTCTTTAATACGGAATTTTTTTATATGATAGCCAGATAAGGTAATAATATACGTATCTTAGGATTGCTCATGCAATTTTCACTCCTCTGAAAATAATTTGATACCTTGAAAAATGTATATTTATTTTTTCATAGCTGTTCCAAGAAGCAGCTGAGAAGGTCAAGAAGCTGGCCAAGCAGCCTACAGACGATGAACTCAAGGAGATCTATGGGCTTTACAAGCAGGCTACAATTGGTGACATCAACACAGGTAAAAAGTTATTCTGGTAGCTTGCTTATCTGCAATTATATTTGAAAAATATCTTTCCTTTAAAAATACCTACTTTTCAGTTTTTTTATATTTTCTTAGAATTTTTAAGAAACCTGAGCAGTTTACTACTGTACATACTGGTATATTGCAACAATTCTATACTTGCATTGTTATCTGCTCTAACTAGAAAGATAAATTATCCAAAATGGAAGAAAAACCACATTTTTGTAAAAAGCAAAATGTGGGACACAAAAACCTAACTGATATTAATTTTCTGAGTTAATTATGTGTTTAAAAAGTTTGATTACTTTTTTGATCACCAGCCTCTTAAGTATATATGTTAAGATAGTCTATGTTGAAATCTAAGTCTACTTCAGGAGCCAAAATAGCAATGGGTTACAATACAAAATTCTCTTCTCATTCACACTTAACTTTTAGTTTTGGTACCATAAACTGGGGTAACTTAGACCACTTTTTTTTTAAATTATGCCACTTTTTTACCAAATAAGTTAAACTTAAATTGAAACATGCAAAATACAGATCTATACTCTAGCTTCACTCACCATAAATTGCTGGCTCCTGCCTCTCATAGTTTTGATGTAATTTAAAAAAAATCGATGGTCTTTTTTACCCCAGCTCTGGGGGTATCTTAGACCGGGTGGTAAAATCAATTGTATTTTTGGTAAAATAACTCCAAGTAACTCCAGGTTTTGGTGCATTGTAGTAGAACTCTTCTAGTTACATATGCAAATGAAAAACTTGCCCCCCAGGTGGTCTAAGTTCCCCCATACTGGGGAACTCTGACCACCTAATGGCAGCCCTGACAGGGTAATATTGACTGGCTTGGAAATTAAGCTAAAATTACCATATATAAGACTCAGTAGAGTCTGAAACATAAAGAAGACACATAAATAGGCTGTCAAACATAAAATATGTTATATATGGTAATTTTAAATTAATTTCCAAGCCGGTCTATGTTACCCCGTCAGGGCTGACATTAGGTGGTCTAAGTTCCCCCATTGGGGGGCGGTGCCCCCCATTTGCAAACTATGAGACTTTCCTCAAATTTGTTTGTTGCATATGTAACTAGAAGAGTTGTACTACAATGCATCAAAACCTGGAGTTATTTTGCTAAAAAATAAAGAAATTGGAGGGGGTACTCAGAGGCTTTAAAAAATAGCTTTTTTTCGTGGGTCACATTTTTAATTTTTTAACCTATTAGATATGCAAACTTTTTAAATCTTTCTATTGTGTTACGTAGCCTCGGTATTAGGCCTTTAATGCCCATTGACAGAATTTTTCTATGTCAAATAGTTTTTGAGTTTTGGGGGTTTTTGTTATAAAAAAACAAAAGTGGTCTAAGTTACCCCGGGAGTCTAAGTTACCCCAGTTTACGGTATTAGTTATAACAAATTTTTTCAAACTTAGGCATTTAATGGACCTATGAGTTGGTTTACACAAAAAGTATCAAAAATAGAATTATAGCCTTAAGAAGCATAGTGCTAACTGAAAAATTAATTTTTTTTACTAATGTAGGTTTTTATACTTCACTTCAAGAAGAATGAAGTTAAATTTACAACAAAGCTGGAAAAAATGTTAATCAAAGAAATGGCTAAAGTGATATTGTTACTTTAAACTGCTATGAAGTTAATTTTTTTTTTACAATGCTATGCTTAAAATGCCAAAAAGTCCTCTGAAAATTTAAATGAACTTATGAAAATTAGGTACAAAATGCACATTGGTATGAAGGAGTTATCTGTTGCTTAATTGTTTTATATATTGTGATGGGTCTTGAATACTGTAAGTATAGAGCAAGTTACAAACTTGGCCTAGTCAAAATTATATTAATACATGATGGGCGAGTTTTTTTATTACCAAATTGAAGGGTTTTTTTTCTTTAGAGGTCATCACTATACTGTTCTGCAGGATATCTTATTAACTAGATGAAAGAAGCCTAGCAACTATTAAAATCTTAATTTAAAATGGAACATATGAACATTATACAGAATCCAGTCTATTACTCGAGAGAAGAATTCATTTTAAATATACCTATTAATTGATCATTGTAAGAGCCATTACTCAAATATGCAGGGAATGATTAGATCTCGTGCAAATGTGTACATTAATTAATCTGATATCAAGCTAAGATGAGTGGCTGTTCAGAATAAACATATTTGTGTATTGCCATCTCTTGATTCTAAGGCAATTAGCTGTCAGATAAGAAGCAGATGTGGTGGCCTTGGCTGAAATGGTTGACCAGTGTATATGAGAGCAGTTCCTTATCTGTCAATCTTTTATCTCACCTTGTACTAGTTATCAATTACTTGAAGACACTATCTGCTATTGAATGCTTTTCTTTGAAACAATCTAGCAGTAAACTAATGTGGTTGTAGCTGAGCTGAATTATACAGATCAATATCAAAATATATCGTTTATTTGGCAAGATTTTACTCTTTGTAAGAGTTGCACATTGCCACTTCTTTAAATCTTCAAATTATATTTGTTCTTATTACCAGGTTTCATAAGCTCACGTACATTATATACCTATTAATTATTGGCGTATTTTTATAGGTTCACATGTAGATTATTATATCATTATCGTTCCATGAACTTTATAATGGCTTATTATAGCCGCATACATTAAAAACAATTTTTTTCCGATACTTTTTTTCGGCGCCATCAAATATTTATAATATTGAATGCTATCATATGGCAAAGGGTAAAGCTTCTCTTTGGAATAGTACACAAGTTATTTATAATTTTTTATTCTGTGCGTTTTAGAGGTTGTTGGCTTATTGCATTGTAAACATTCCTGATCTTAGCCCTTGCTATATTCCCTCCTTGACCGCGCTCATGGAACGATATATATATAATCCATGCACATAATTTGCTTCTTGAAGCAGACTATTTAAGAAAGGTAACAATTTGATATGTCATTTACCGCTTTGTCATTCAATACGAGTGTGATGTGATAACTTCATGATTTTAAGAATATCTTTTTCGGAACTGGATAAATAGTTGCTCAACTCAAATTTCATGCCTATCAATTAAAATCTTGCAATTTTGCCGATTAAAGCAATCGAGAAAAGTAAATACCCTTCTTCAATATTTCGGCGTCTTTATCATTGGATAAATTTCTATTATATTTCACATTCTTGACTTGGGCAATCGTACGATAAGAGAAAGCTGGCGTCAGCACGTGACGGTGTGCACGAGGCGATCTATCAGCACATCTCGCTTGCAGCATCGTACGACGCTTTGTATTCTTAGCATGACCGAGCGGGCGGGGACAAAGAACTCTATTGAAGTACATAACAATTGGTCATTATTGATGCTGGACAATGATTAATGCGTGGGCCTTATTGATGTTGAATAATGATTAGTGGGTAGACCATGTTGATGGCGAACAATGTAGTATTGAGGCGTAATTTCACCGGTTGCTATTTATTAATATTTTAACATGGAGATCATGGTCGCAATAGAGTTTTGCCGCTCTCCTTTACATAACCATAAATTTTCGATGAGCTTATTGAGCGGACGATCAAGTACTGCAAGTCGCGACGCTGCTGTGCTCGTGCGCTTTGGATTAATTCATTTAATGAATTCTTCAAGAGCCTGAATTCTTCAAGAGCAATGAACAGGTCCCATGCGGAAGGATTAATGTGAAATTTTACCGTCTCGCTGCACAAATAATTCTGTGATTTCTCATGTTTTTTTGTGGTGTGGACGCGTGACAACTTCCGTATTTTATTATTGCTGTCAGACGTATCAATCAATAGGCGTGCATTATTCCTGCGAGCTGAGAGATAGATGTGCTAACTTCCATTTCGTTATTAAATCACGCAGCGTCGTTAATTTCATTGCTAACTTCGTTTGTTCATTGAACTATTGCATGTACGAGTCGTGCATTTCCAATCGTTAATATTTAAATATGATTGCCCAAAGTAGTCACTGTTCCTTTATGCAATATAGAACAATGCGCCAAGCACGAATTGTTCTTTAAATTTCCAGGACGAAAAATTTACTTAATGTTAACCATGTCCCCAGAGCGGCCTGGCATGCTGGACTTCAAAGGCAAGGCCAAGTGGGACTCCTGGGAGAGCAAGAAGGGCATGACGAAGGAGGCCGCCATGACGGCGTACGTCGCCAAGGTCGAGGAGCTCGTCGCTGCGTACGGTCTGCAGTAGACGCGACGACACACGGCCACTGGTCACACTATGAAGCCACGCTCTCGTTCTCAATGTTATACCTCACGCTAATGAATTTGGGTTTGAAGTCATCGGTTTGCTGAAGATTAAAGAAAGATATTTCGATTGAATCAGCTAAGCTACAGGCTCTTGATGTTTTCTTTTTTTAGAAGTCACAGCACCCAATACGTGTCCAAAATTATTTTCAAATCTGTCTATTGATCGTCATGGAGAAATTTATAGGTCTTCTTTTTCCGAATGCAAGAGTGCATTAGGTTGCACTGATAAAATAATTGAGTATTGTGTTCTGGGTTACGAGTTATTAAATTTGAATGTTCTACACTTGAAATTTTCCTATTAAAATTTGTTTTTTTTTGTTTTGTTTTGCATGTTATAAAATTCTTGTTTGTTTTCATTTTGTCAGTAATTTAACCCGGATAATTCTTGAAACATTCTGCATATTTTATATTACTCCCAAGAAAATACTTATTTTGCACACAACGCCGTTCTTTTCTCCCTTGTCGTCCTGTTACAAACATGTCTTTGTCGTAAGATCAGGAACTGTCGATTTGCATCGTTTTACCAACTGCCTTTAGCATGAGTTGCATTATGAAGTCTTAATTAATTTGTTTGTATCGCCATTACTTCTTAGAATCGAACCGTGCAATGATCGTTTTGTTATGCGTTTTGTTCGGCAAGCTGGACGTGCGTCTCATGCTAAAAATAAACTCGAGTGAACTAATGACGGAAAATTTGCATTGCCAACTAGCAAGACAAGACTCCGTTAACTAGAAATATGAAAAAATAATTGGGTTTTACACCTACCTACAAACGCTTTCATGGAGTTCAACATCAATTTCCGCGATCGATTAGGTAGAAATTGACGATTTGGAGCAACCAATTCGGCTGCTCAAGTGGCTCGGAGCATTGAAAGGTGAACAGGAAAAAAAACGAAGCAGCCCAGTCTTTACTATTCTAGCAGGTCTGGGTATGTACATGTATAGTACTAGGAGGCAGTATATCAATATTTTAATCACGGCTATCAACTAATAATCTGGTTTGTAAAACAGGCAACTGTTCAAAACTTTCAAACGCCAGATGAAAAAGTTTCTTAATTAGCTCTGCGGTATATTCATGAATTGATTACAATGAAAAAGATGCAAGTCTAGATGCTGATAAAAAATCAAAGTCAAGCTAGAAATCGACAGCAGGAACATATATATATACTCTCAAAATCATTACCAACAGAATTACGAAATATACTCCCAAAAAAGTCATTACCAACGGAGTTACGAAACATTCTAAACATAAAAACTGGAGATATGAAAGATTTAAATAGATTCTGTGATTTCTTGGAAGGAATTATAAGTGATATTTCTTCAAGATCATTACGGTAAATCTTTAGGTGTAAGTGCATTTCTATTAAATGGTTTATAATTATAAGAAAACATGGAGGCCGTTGACTTGAAGAATGAAATTCACTGAATTGGCTTTTTCTGCCAAGTGTTTTGAATAACATGGACAAAAATTCAATTACTTCAAAAATCGCGACAAAACGAAATGCATTCCGAAAAAAGAGCCGGTATTACTGTTGATGAAAGTATAAGCGCAACGAAATTTGCATTAGAAAAATGTTCAATTAAGATTTAATCAAGCAGTATTTGTATTACTAACGTGTAAATACTTATTTTTAGCGGATTTAAATTTTTGATTGGCAACGTAATATCGAGGATGAAGCTTGGCATTTGATGAGTACATAAACGGTCACACGTTCACCACAAGTATAAAACAAATATCACATTATAGTTATGAGACTAGCTTAGTATATATTGAAGCAGACCGGTCGAGTATCATCAGTAGTGTCGGTCATCAGGAGCAATGGTATCGATATACAACAGGTGCTAAGCTCCAGTAACAGCTGATTTATAAAAACGGCAAATTTAGTGAACTAGAATTGTCATATCAAATTAACCGAGAATTGTCGACGCTACGAAAGAAAAAATATTTGAATTGAACGGTGAATTGAGATGTCTAAGTCCTCGCTGACACGTGTTAGATTAATGTCGACAAGATGATGCTCTCGGTAGATTTTTAAGTACTTGAAAGAAATGGAGAAACCATCATTAACAACACTATAAGAAATAAGCTTAGAGAAACCATCATTAAGAACACTATTATAAATAAACACAAGATATTATTTAATTAGGAACTGATTGCACCTTCCTATTGTCACCACAGTATCGAGTGTGCCCTGCATCTAATGCTCCAACGATTTAATCACGTCGTGTATAATTTCAACTGAACGTCAGCTCGTACATTTAGAATAAATTAATTGTGTTTCTTGACAAAACACATTTAACTGTAATAAATTAGTGATCTGTTTCTTTGTAGTGTTTTTTTAAGTAGGACTATTAATTCGTTTCGCTTCTTAACGAAGACAGACGCGATTCATTCCACAGACACGATAAGCAATTACATGAGCGGTAGCTTCCGTAATAAACAGGAAAAGTAACACGGCATCTTGAGATAATCAAAAAGTTCTTATGAAGAGAAACGGCCAAGGGTTTTAAGTTTGAAGGCGCGTGAAAATGTCGAGTTTCAAACTGGGTGCGTAGAATTCATAAAGTAGTCAAGCCTACATAAGTACATTAATCGGCTGAGCCTGATAGTATTAAATTTTACTACATGACAAGTCACGATAAGAAGGCTCGGTTTGAAGGCTTAAGAGAGCTACACACAATAAAGCGTTAAGACACTGCTGGAACTCACGCCTACCGACACTTGCTTATATTCCTGAACTTCCACAATACGTGCTTAACTCTATCTATAATAATAATTACTTATGACGAACACGACATCGGTAACAGGAATCTCGTCTGGCTTCAGAGGTTCATGCTAATTGATTGATGAACACCATGCTTAAAATATCTTAATATTCTAAACGTGTGTCATGCCAATGCAAAACTAGACATCCCACATTCCTTCGGTGTAAGTGCATTAAAATATATATACACGAGATAAGTCTAACGATAATCGTAGTGCATGACATCACTAGAGTTCGCTAAGCGTGGTAACAACAGAATGAAGCAAGACAAACACCATGTAGCAAGCTTTACGATCTGCTTTCGGTGATTACACTTAAAATACGACTTAATGAGCAGATGTCTGAATAAGTTTAGTCAGTTGTGACAAAGTTCAGCACGTGAATACATTGAAGACATTTGAGCAAAGCTCTCTTTCACAACAAGAAAGCGAAAGCATATTTCGAGAGAAACTACCGAAAAAACAATGGTATTGGTACAAAACAACAAATAAAACGCAGACCAGACAACATGAGAAAAATACATCCCTATGGGTAGGTAGGAAGTTGAATTGAACACATAAGCACAATGGAAGGTTATTTCTTCATTGAAGAGTCTAGACAATTGAAAAGAGCTACAGGCAAGCGCAAAAAAATACTTACTAATGGATTTAACATAAATACTGTGAATGGTCACTATACATCGACTTGGAATGCATTAGAGGCATTATGTCAGTGCCGCATTAGTTCTACAACAAAGACATGAACTGCTACCACTTGATTTGATAATTATCATAACAATCACATAATAAAGCAGATAAAAATACTCTCAATGTTAAATAAATGTCAAGAAGCAATTTTACAGGACCTCATACACGTTGAGGAGAGGGAGAGGGCAGCTAAGGTGGACGCAGTAGGTAAAATGTTCACTATGACAAAGCCTGCATCTCAAACTTGAACACGATTTTTCCGAACATTCAACTAATACTAATCACCACAGAAATGGCTAACAGATCTCCAATAGATTATTACGCAAACAGGGGGAAGGGTGTGGGCACCCTGGCCCTGTTGCACGCAAAATTTAATTTTACCAAATTATTAACATTTAACTAATTATTCATGTCCCAACTCATTTGTGAAAAAATTGCACAAGAGAAATAGGCTTTTCTTTCAAGTTATTCAGATAAATTAGATAAAATTCCAGACAAGCCTCATACAAAATAAATTAGACCGCTATCAAGTTCAACGAATTATTGAAATTCATATAACAAATCAGGTTATAAAACAAACCAGGTTTCTATGGCAGTACAAAAAATACCAAATAGATACACAATATATCTTTGGTATAGGCTTCAGAACCGGACTTAGTCGTTGCCAAACATGACTTCTCGATGCCTTATAATAAGTATGATAAGCTTGAAAAAATTAAGAACAATTGAAAAGATACGCACAATTGCAGGAACTGAATGTGTAAGAATTTAAAATTCGAGCATTCTGTTGAAGCTGACGTGTTACTATGAATCATGCTTCGTAACTAGCGCGATATGTATACACAATTTTTAATTATGTTTGAATACACCCAATTAGGGACAATCGCATGAATCAGATCAGAAAAATTGAAAATAAACTAGTATGTAAACTATATATACATATAAACCATTGCGCTTTTGGAATCGCGTCAAAGAGGTTGCCGGTTTTAGCCAATTATTCACACTAAGTGAATGCGAATGTCACTAATAATTTCTTTCAATAGCCACTCCATATTTGAAGAATACATACAGCGCAAGATATTTTGAAAAATCTTTAACTGATTTATCTAAATAAAAAATTACAAGAATTTTGAGCCTGAAAGCATAACAAATAAGTAAGCATCTTGCACGGCCAAGTTTTCAATGCCTAAAGAGCTTTTCCCGTTACCTGAATATGAGCTCGGTTAAACCAACAGGAAAGATAGTAGTTCGGTGACCGCTGCTGTTGATAAATTACCCCTGTTATTCATGGCGATATTCCTACCTAACTTAGGAAATAGAGGTAAATATTAGCGTGTAAGGGCTAGATAATATGGAAATGACTTGTGTCCCTCACACCACCGTGCCGGGCTGAGGGTCTCGCGGGTGTCACATCTCTGGGGCTCCATCACTGTCAGAGTCTTCTCCCTGCACATGTAATCACACAGTTTTAAAATCAATTTGGAACATGGAACTTTGTGGTTAGGTACGTCCAAAGTGAACATAACAAGCATGCTTCTTATGACTGAGCATGATGATGATGATGATGATACAAGAAACATTGGAAATTGAAAGGCTGAAATTTCTTCATTGAAGATGGCTTTGAAGCTTTTAATTTATGTTATTTAAAATTGAGAAAGACCTTTACTATTGCAATTCAGGATAATTGGCACAAAATGAACCGACTGAAAAAAAGTTGAATGAATGTCCATGCGGTGTATAATTCCTTCTCAAGATCGTTAATTTTCTTTTATTACAAATGGGATTTTAAATTTATTTTCACGAACGTAAATTAACTGCAAACACTCAATTCCGTAGTTAATCTAAAATCATTTCTAATCTACAGTTGCAGGTTATGCTAGAGTTTCGAACCATGATGCTAGATATCAACTAGATCACTAGATCAGATTAATTATCGAGTTTAAATGTTAGCTACATGTAAATAATATCACTGATGGAAGAGTACTAGTTGGGTTAACGGTCATCGCTCCAGCCTGGCTGGATATACATAGTTTCCACGGTGCATGTGAGGACAGTTGTTGTTGTGGTTCCCCGGTCTCAATTTCACAAGAGACCCCCCTCGCGCAAGTACGACACCAACGACAAGGGGTCGCTCCAGAGCTGTAGGGTCGAGGTTATGTGGTGGTGTTGTCTGAGGTCCTGCCAGAGCGGACATTCCAGGAGAATGTGAGTGATTGTGTGGGGAGCTCTCTGGCAGGATGGACAGGTGTCTGTGTCTGCTTGGCCTATTCTGTTTGCGTATGTTTGTAGTTAGGGGTGGTGGCCGCAGCGCAGCCTGGCTAGGTGTACTCTCTCCAGTCTAGAGAGCTGTGTTTCTGTGCTGCTTATGTCGGGTGGTGGGTGTCCAAAGATTTTGTTGTTGCCGGCCAGCTCCAGCGTTCTAAGTGTCATAATTGTGTGTAAGTGTTTTTTTTGTTTGTGCTGATGTTGCCTTGGGGTGGGGGTACTGTATCTAGTATGTTGGTGTAGTATCTGTGTGGGGTTTGCACTATTTGTCTGTGTGTAGGTGGGTGGTTGCGTAGGTAGTGGTACGGGTGTTGTGTGTTGTTTATGGCTGCGGCTATGAATAGTGTTCCTCTCATGACGAGGTGTGCTTTTATGGGAAGTATTTTTGTTTCTGCATGAAGGTGTTCTATGGGGGTGCTTTGTGTGCAGCCTGTGACTATCCTGAGTGCTTTGTTTTGAAGTGTTTGGAGTTTCTGTATGTTTATGTTGGATAGCGCGGGCGCCCAGGCATGGCTGGCATAAGCCATGAAAGCACTGTTCTGATGAAATGTTTGTATGTTGGTGCTAGTGTTTCTTTGTTTTTTGCCAAACTTGGTACCGCCTAGGGCCCGAAGTGAGTTGAGTCTGATGTTTGCGTTATTCACTATGTTGTTGATGTGAGGGCCGAATGTCATGGAGGTGTTGTAAGTGACCCCTAGTATTTTTGTTTCGTGTGTGTGTGGGATCGGGGTGTTGTTTAGTGTGATGTCTGGTCTGTATTGGTGCTCCTTTGTGTGGCTGGTCATTAATGTGTTTGTGGATTTACTAGGAGCAACCTTGAGTCTGTTCACTGTGAGCCATTGTGATAGAGTGTTGAGATATGTTTGCGCTTGTTGAGTGCATATGTGAGGACAGTTGACCACACCCCTAACTAGCATGAGGGTGGTGCACTACATCACTGACCAGTGTGAGGCCGGTGCACTACACCACTGACCAGCGTGAGGGCGGTGCACTACATTACTGACCGGCATGAGAGTGCAGTGTGGTGAGGCTGTGGGTGCCTCAGTGGCGCAGTAGACGGTGTGGTGGGAGGGAGTGGGCACCAGCAGGCGGGTGCGCTCGTCTCCCCCACTGGAGCTGCGGCTAAAGCTGCCCCAGCTTGCGATGCCCTCGCTGTCGCTGCCCCTGCTTCTAGAGTGATGTCCAGTCAAGTGACGCTTCACGCCTTCGCCTGTTCAAACGTGGTAAGCTGTTAAATTGTAGCTCTATTATACAAGGGAAAAGTCATCAATCCACAAGAGTTATTTTTAGTGCGTTTTCTCATTTATAGAAAAGAAGCGCTATTGTGCTCGTCATGTCCGTCCGTCTGTCCGTGACTTCACATTTTGTAGACGAGAAAATGTGCCCTCTGTCACTCACTGCAGTAAGTACCAAGTTATATTATTTTAACATTTAAAAATATGTGAGCAAATAAGCCCATTTGTGATTTCTGAAACAAATCATCATGATTAAGGAATGATCATTCATGATATTTTTTGTATAAATTTTAGAAGCAGGTAGTAAAGTATCATGACTCACGAACAACAGAAACGTGCTCTCTGATGTCAGAGCGGACGTCAGAGACGTCCCAGATGAGGAGGAAGGCTGTGCAGCAGTGGCTGCCTTCAAAGTCTGAGTCGATGTACGGCTTGTACGAGAAGGCAAAGTGGTGCGCTACAGCCGCTATGAACATCTCTATGCAGATCAAAAAGTTCTGCACACACAAATAAATATTGCTTTGTTAAACGTACACAAGAGATTTCATAGAATATGACTATGATAGATAATGTCATAGGTGAAATACTTCACAATTTCTTAGGTATTAATATGAAAATATATGAAACACAATTTAAAAAGTGAATATGAAACCAAGAATTGAAAATTATGAGGGCTACATGAAGTTAAATACTGAATACTATTAGCAAAACCATATGAAAAGATAAAATAAAAAGCCCCAAAAATTATGAAGCCTTATTATAGTAACATGACATTACTATGAAGCAAGTCATGTTATGACTAAAATATACCACCAGTGAGGTACCTGCAGAACATTTGAAATGCGTTGCAGATCATCGTTATCAAACACTTCCTTGATGACGTCCAACTTAGCCAGGAACATAATGGCAACACCTTGGCTGTAAACATCAATTTGCATTATATTCTTGTTACAAATGACACTTTTGATGACAATATCACGTAAACTTACATAAAGAATATGAACAATTCAGTGTTAGGGTTACAGAACTAGGTACATATTTTCTGCGTAAAGCCGATTTAAATACTGTTAGAAAAAACGGTGAAAAAACGGTCCCCCCTGCGTTCTAATGGCCGGTCGCCTCGTGAAAATAAACTGTTTCGCCGTTTTTATCAGATGTTTTACGGATTTCTAGTGTTAAATTAGAATAAAAACGGCGACACGGTGTTTCTCTTCACGTGTCGACCGGCCACTGAAATGCCGGTAATACCGTTAACGGTAACTTTTCTAACAGTGAATCTAGTCTTGGAAGTAGAAAAAGGGGAGGGATTCAAAAATGTAGCCTGAACAATTACTACAGGAATATGCTTCCGACTAACTATACTTCTTGCTGACCGTGGTGGGCGGGGAATACTACATAATATAAATTCACTTAACAAACAATGGTAATGTTTAGGTATCAACATTTTTAAGCAATTAACTAAAAATGGAATAAGAACAAAGAACATGTTTACACTTACAAAAAGGAAAAAAATACAACGCATTTGATGCACAAGAATTTAGCCAGTGGCGCCATGGGCTGGAGTTCGTCCTTCATGGCCTTGTAGAAGAGCACCAAGCAATACATCGCCACAAACTGCGACACGTTGTTGATCACGAACAAATACACAAACGCCTGCAAAATACACACTCATATCAGCTGGGGCAAACAATGTTAAATATCATTTAGGAAATAATCATAACCATATAATATAAATATTTTTATTCATAGAATTTCGAATATTATATAGGAAATAATCATAACCATATGATATAGGTAAATATCTTCAATCATGCAGCGAGCAATTGAAGTATAGACCTTATCACCTTAGTTGCAAACAGCAGCTACATCCAATGGCAATGATCTCAGTAGGTACTTATCTAGGGAAAGGTGTATATATCTTCGAGTTACTAATGCTGAATTAATTTTATTAGGCATAATTTTACATTTTTTTGTCAGAAATCTTTGTTAAAAAGCAAGATTAATGCTCGAAAAAAAGTCCCTTATAGCTAGGAGGATAAAAATGATGCTTTTAATACGAGCACCTACGTACTACTGTATGGAAACATATGGCATGCTAGGGGAGGTGTGAGTAAAAATATACCTACATTAGCATCAGCAATGCAGTGGCGACCTGGGGCAATATTGCCATATCTGCATGAAAGTCACTGACAGTGTGACTTCAAGTGTTTGATATGAGAGTTAGAAGAAGCAGTCGCTGCATGCATAACCACATTTAAAAAAAGGAAAGTAGCTGGTTACAGTAGGTGGAATAATTCAACACAGCTAAGATATCAATACAACTCAACTCCAATAATAGATCTCAGTTTAGATGCTTATATACCTAGACAGATATGTTATCAAGAATTTTCAATTCCAACCGAAGTTAATTGAAGGAAAATGAAGGGAAGGGAAATGAAGGGAAGGGAAATGAAGGGAAGGGAAATGAAGGGAAGAGAAATGAAGGGAAGGGAAATGAAGGGATGGGAAATGAAGGGAAGGGAAATGAAGGGACAAACAACTAAGATCTTTACCACGGATACTAATGAATTGCTTCTTGTAATGGGTAGATGGGTAGATGAAATAAACCCAAATCTATACTCACGTTGGTGGGAGAGAAGTTGCCTTCTTCATAAATGTTTGCCAGACCACAAACAAAGGCAAGGCCAGTGGTGATCAAGTGGAAAACTGTATACTGAAGGATGCCATGTTTGCAGCGGTGAATAAATTCTCTGAAACATAAAGTGTCATCATCAATATCATGAAAACAAATTAACTTTGATGAAAAATTGCTTGGTAAACATTGAGGGTCAAATTGCAGATTAACACTGGAATGAATCAGCCATTAACATTCATTTAATTCCCTATTCAGGGTAAAACAACGGCAACTTGTATATAATATACAATCGCTGTTTAGTGAATGAAAGTATTATGATAAAAAAGAGCTTGTTCATGTTTAACTTTTCACACGAGGCTACAAAGGCAACTTCCATGCAATGCTGTCAGTAACCAGGCATTTTAAATAAAAATCTCCTGAAGTTTTTAAAATGGAATTGATGATAATAACACATCCAAAATCCCTAGTTCTAATTAGCCATTGTGACATGAAGGAGTGCTCACCTGCCCATCGGCCATGTTTTGAGGCAGCACAGTGGGAAGAAATGCTTAGTTTGAGGCTTAAGGTCCAACACAACATCCAGCTCAACCATTTGATCCAAGAATTGCAAAAGGAACATCATGAAGTTGTAGATGGCATACGCCTCATAGCACTCACGGGCCGTGTCCAAGTAGAGGCCTAGACTGGGAAACCGAAGCACCAGCCACTGTACGAAAAAAATTTGAAATATTAGACATGAGGCACATGACTGTGGTCACAGGTATATATCTAGAAGGAGCTCATGGTACCAGTTTTATATTTTCTTGCTTGATATTGGAACTAACAATAATGAAAGTAAAATTTTTTCCATCAATGAATTATTTAATGATATTTTCTACATTCCACCTGATATAAAGAAGAAATAATTTTGTATAGTTATCTTCAGCTACCCTGAATACCAAAATTCTGTACTAATCTACCTATTAATAAAAAGGCAAACTATTGTAGATTAATAATGATTAAAAATAATGAGATCTAGTTTGCCACTTAAGGTCACTGCACTACGGTAATGTAAACTTAATCAGAATAATAAAATAATTTCAAGAAAAAAAATTAAATCAATAAAAGGGCAGAATTGTATGAAATTAATCTCTTTGTAAATAAAATTTATGGCTTTATGAATAATCTCTTGTATTATCAGTATAATTGAAACAAATTTGTTGACATCTAGTTTCTTCTGAAGAAAATGAGATTCACAACAGTACTGTATTTACCATAATAGGTACCACGGTATATATAGTTAATAACTCACCGAGTCTAATGAGTATACTGGCACCAGCCACAGTATTCTGAAAAGAGATATTCTTTTAAAAAGATGCAGATAAAGACGCGTGTGTTAGATTTATCAGATCAAAAATTTTTACAGAAGATATTTCATGCACACAATCTTCAGGTGAAAATTTCCCTGAATAAGTTCTTCAATTCAGGTTCAATTTTAATTGAGTTCATAAGTAAACTGCTACAGATGCAAAGTGTAAATCTATGTACCTGATGATGTGCTTCTGTAGCTTAGGCTTTGTATAATTCACAAGATGGTGAGTGATTTGCCACAATGAAATTGGAATAGTGATGAACACAAACAATCCTCCAACCAGCCAGGCAAATTGGAATTTGTCCACACCATCCTGGACCTGGGAGAAAAATGGAGCATATACAGTAATCAAATAATTAAAAGATTGACCAACTGAGTGATGATATCATAATTTTGACTTTCAGCTTTAAAATAATTTTAGTTTTTATTAAAGAGCATCAATTAATATCACTAGGTTTGATAAGCAAGAGATTTTAGCTTTCATACAATGATCAGAATCTCTTCCATTAACGTGACACTTGAGGTTTGACTGAAGTTTATCAAATAATATAGTAGCATTTGACAAATTATGATGCTGATCAGTCATCAAACTTTCTCATTTGAATTTTACAAAGCCAACAATTTTTTGCCAACCTTCAATGGCTTATGAGTTGAAACTGCAGGATCCAAGAGAGATAAATATCAACATTAAAGACTACAGTCTCTGGCATATACTATAGTCTCTGGCATAGACTATAGTCTCTGGCATAGACTATAGTCTCTGGCATAGACTATAGTCTCTGGCATAGACTATAGTCTCTAGCATAGACTATAGACTCAGCATAGACTATAGTCTCTGGCATAGACTATAGTCTCTGGCATAGACTACAAGTCTCTAGCAATGAGTACTAGTCACTGGCATAGACTACAGTCTCTGGCAGTACCTAGATTACTACAGGTAGCAACTGGGAATATAAGTCAGTTGTTTGTGATGGGTGGATCTTTCCTAGGTTAAAACAAAGGCATGGTAAAGAGAATAGTATCAGGTAGTTGCATTATAATAGCAATGCCATAGTCATATCAAGCAGCAGGGACTTGGGAGGGAATATAGTAATAACATATATGTAGAATTCAACTTGAGCTGCCAACCAATCTGGAATAATAGGCAGAATTTTCTAGAAGCTAAAGTAAAAATGATTGTTTGATAAGTAATTTTTTGGAAATCACAAGCAAAAATGTGCTTTACATTAATTTTTTTTTCAAAAAATTAATTAACTAAAATATGAAGACATGAAATTAACTACAAACCAGTTCATTTTTTGTCATGCAGGTGCCTTCTGCCCAATTTCACAGTTTATGGTAAGAAATCTCAAAGGGTACAGCAGTTATGGGGATGAATACTTAATAATACTGGCAACAATAGTGGGCAAGTGGCATAAAAGAGATTGTTTAGATATTTGTAACTACCTGGTATTATCCAAAATATTCATTTAGTTTGGTCTGAAACATTTTCTGTATCAGGGGTGGAATACATCTATTTTTTACGGAAATTTCGCGGCCCGAGATCTCCCATTTTCAGGTAAGTTTGAAATATCGCGGCTCGGAAGTCAGGTAAATATATTTCCGGAGCCTCCGAAATGGGTCACGTGATCGTCGTGACGTGTGGGGGAGGGGCAAGCCTGCGGTTGGCAGTTGTCGGCTGCAAAACGATAAAGAATCGTGCACCGGCCGATGTAGATAAAGAAAGATCACTGTATCATTTGAGCTCATGTTTCCACGTGCGGTTATGCAGTGATAACTCCTAAGTTCTAATCCAGTTTCCACAACAACTAGACTTGGCGCCGGTCGGCGATGCATGGTGGCTTGATACTTGTAAGTATTCTTATCATCATATACATATGGCCTTATCAATAGTTTGTTTCAAACGGAACATAGATTAGTAGTAGAATTATATTGTGAATGGTCTTTAACACGATTCAATTGTAAAGTTTGGAAGACTATCCCGATTACGCCTTACCTTACCAGCCGTATTCTGTCTGTACACGAAACTTGGAAGAAATTATACATGACCGGTGCTTCTTAGCTCAAATGTAGTATTGTTTCAATTTTAAGCCTCTAATCTATGTACTTCTAAATTATTTCTAGAAAATTTCATTACTTGTTTTTAATTTGATGAAAAACTATTGAATAGTTTATGCCGCAAACAAATTTATTGACCAAAAATGTTTACCATCCTGAAATGAGGTCGGGCTGCATGTTTGGTAGTTCAAACTTTGATGAAACCAAAGCCACTAACTTGACAGTGCTGACAGTGACTACGCTACTAATGGATACCATATTTTCATAACATGAAAAAAAATTTAACAAGGAGTGTTCAACTGTGAGCAAAAACATTTATTAAGCGAGAAATGTTTCCCGTTGCGATTTTTTTTATAGTTGGGGTCAAGACTTGTGGCGACAAATGCGCCCACCAGCCTGTTCTCTGTCAGAAATTCCCGTTGCGATGCCAAGTGAATGTTCATTACTTTGATGGAGCGCCCGCCAACTAATAAAGAAATATGTTGGTTACTAAGCTAAGCTTCTCGAGTCTTGACCAGGGAATATCAGTAACACCGCCGAGTTACCTGCTCAGTTGATTTCGTCACTAAAGTAAAGGCATTAGGCACTACACCACTCTACATTTATTCTATTATAGGGAAAAGACTAATTTACTACCGGCTATCGGTACGTTTGTTGTGTAGTTTAATATAGCAAGACATTTATAAACGTCTAGAATATAAATTGGAAAGTAGCCACTTTTGTTCCCTTGGATATGAAACGTCCGGAAAATACTTATTTACATATTTGGCGTGACCGTGTCAGTAACAATGATAAGGGTTTTAATTGGCTAGAATTCATACTACTAAAGCACATAAAGAAGACATGCCATTTATACGTTCAAGTTTGTTTAGTTGTGGCTTGAAATGTGACTGTTGAGTACATACATATAGAGGCCTGAGGTAATCGTGTGCGTATTAAAAATACTTGCAGTGTTGAGTATATTTGTATATTTTTTCGAAAATATGAAGAGCTTATAACTTTCGTTCTAATTTTAATTTTGGAGTTAGATGAGAATCCCATACTAAGTGAGCCTTAGTGAGGTTTAGTGTGGAATGGAATGGGACTTTTTTTTAAATGTTTATAAGCTACTTTAAATTTTTATTATTAATGTCCGAGTGTAGTTTGTGGAAGCAAATCATCATGTGTTCACAAAGTTAGCTACGAGTACACCGTGTCACTGACAGCTTGCCTTAGATGCTGAGTCATGTGTCGCGAGGACAAGAACTCGGTGAATGGAGGTGCGATGTCTATAACTGGGTTGGGAACCTTAGTAAGCCCCCCGTAGTAGTAATTAACTGTAGTAAGTAACCTCTGATTTGAACCTTAGTAAGCCCCCCACAATGTAGCTCTCGGTTGAGTTTTCTGACCTAACGGTTGACGCCGTAGCTTATACCTCTGTATCGTAACTTATGTATTGCCACCCCGTATCAAGATACTTTTCTCTAGACAGATTGTGTCTTGCTTATTCCTCACGCCTTAGTCACGTGTTCCGATCCTAAGGGGCGCTTAATTCAAGAGCGCTGACATTAACTGGTTTGGGGAAAATCAGATTCTTGGAATGCTAAGATTTTCTTTCCTGATAAATTCATGTTAGCTTTCTAGTATCTTGTGGAATGCATTACCTCATACCGGCCTTTTATTTCAGGTTTCCGAGTGAATGTGCGTGTCTGGGGAGACCAGCGGCAGTATTACTTGCTACTTAGCCAATGACTTTGAGGCCTGCTCTTAAACGGAAGTCCACACTTGTCTTCTCGCAATCAGGTGACCAAATGAACTAATTTTAAATGATTGAAATAATTTTATTGATCTTTTGACTATAGTTCCAAGAAAGTTCCGATATTTGATCAGTGATCACTCTTCATACATTATGGCATAAGGATTTTCCTTACCAAACGGCATCCAGCATTTTAAATAAATTCAATTAATCGATACTATATATGACAAGATTATGTTTTCAACTTGACCAACTTTCAAAAATTATTCACTTATAAAAATTTGTTTATCTACCAAAGATATCATAACTTGGTGTTGAATTGTCATTCATCAGAATTAGAGTGAGTGCATACAAGATAGTACGTTGCAACGCATTTCCAAAATTGATAGAACGTTGGTGTAATGTCTATGAGAGCCTGCATTCTTAAGGACGCTCGATTTACATGATGTATTCATCTCTCATTATTTTCAGATCCTCGAAGAACAGAAGCAGGCATGGATGAGGGCATGGAACTGGAAGTAGGCATGTTGAAGAGAGGCCTGTTCTCACCGCACCTGTGTGCTACCATCTGACTGTGCCTGTTTGCTAAAATCTCACTGCACCTGTGTGCTGTGATATCACCGCACCTGTTCGTTACAGCCTCACTACGCCTGTTTGCTACGGTCTTACGCACCCGTTTGCCAAGGTCTGTACCAATTGGGACTCCTAAGCTTTACCTATGTCACAATAATGAGGATCAATCAATTACTGATGGATTTACAGAAGGAAGTGCTAGGGTGCTAACAAACCAAGTCACTAGGACGATAAAGAAGCTTTGTCTTGCATCAGGACAATGCCTATCCTATGCTAATAATACCGTTAATTCTTGTACAACATTTTGCCTCGAATAAATTGTCAAATATGCCTTTGAACTTCTTTTTTTCACTCAGTAATTTATACATATGTATTGGGTAAGTCGGGGTTATCTCTCAAAACCTGGTTTCTTAAATTCCCAGAAGTCTCCTGCCAGCTGGTAAAGATGATGCGATGCATGATGCAGAAGTATGTACGAGTTTAACTTTTCAAATATGAGTGCAACTGTGAACCACCGATTTTGTGCACCAATTAGCCATGAATGGAACGCCTAGCACATTTATATGCATGAGCGAACATCAGTGGTGGATCAAGCCTACCGTCAGTAACCTGCCCATGACAATAATAATATAATAATAGTATTAGCGGTTTCAGAGTTTATTCCACCGTAGGCCTGTTGCCGATTCTTGACATCGCAAAACATTCACACTTTGTTGTGGTCTCGAACATGCAACTCACTGCTCCGATTCGGCTGTGCATAACCCCCCCGGCCTCGAAGATTTGATCCAAAAACCGTCGCAGAGAGCTGGGATCAAACCCACTCCTCTCTGCTCCAATCCTGGTACTCTAAATTTTAGCCACTGGGCCACCCTGCTCTAAACTAAACTGTGCTCAGCAAACAACGAACTGCGATCAATCAGCCCAGCTCGTCAGTGGAATTGCATGAAATCTGACATGCACCACCAAACAACGGATGGAATATGACTTTTGTTACATCATTATATTGTGTAATTTTTAGCTCACATCATCTGAGGTTAGGTTTCACATAGTTTAGTTATGTTCCAAAATTAATCGTCTTTCGATGAATGGTCGTTCTTATCATAGGCTGATTCGATGCACAGGACAGGTTGGTAGCGGGCACCATATGCACTGCAAGGCTGTGGTACTAAATGTCCGAATGATGCAAAAATGTTTGTGTTTGCAGATGACGCTAGGCCATACTATAGCAGGTTGGTTTCCTGCTGGCAGATAGGTCTACTTAAATGGATTTGAAAGCCGCAAACACTCAAGGATTCAACACTTGTGGGCAGAAGTGTTGAAGGGATGGCTACATACAGTGTTGGAGGAAGGAACCAAGGTGGTATTATCGAAGCAGGGCAGTGTTGGTCTCCAACAAGCGACCCTCTCTAACGGCGTTTCTCTTTCCCCTTTCAAACGGCTTTCCCTTTCAAGCTCTTCTGATGAAATGTTTTTTTTTTCAATTTCTCTACGTGGATAAAAAGGAGTCCCAGGTTAAGAGAGAACCATTTTTAACATGAATTTAGGTAATTTATTTTCTCATTTATTCCTTGAAGTGTGACAAACAAATAGGCCTTCCATCATGCTTGTTTCCATTCGAATTAAAAATAAATGATGCGCATTTTGAATGTATGTATGGCCTAAGCATTCGTGTGTATTTTTGAATGTATGGCCTAAGGCCTAAGCATTCGTAAACATTTTGAGCCTGTGAAACGAGCTGTGTGTAGAGCAGGCCTATCTACAAAACTTCATGTTGGTCTAAATATTTTCTAAATGCAAATTAACTTGCATTTACCTTCCATTGAAAAAAACGGGAAATTTTTATAAGATGTTTAACGTCGCAAATGGATTTTTGCCTAGAATCACACAACACATGTCTTAAATTGCTCATAAAAGAGTCTCATCATGTTAATGATTTTTAGTTTCTTAAATTATACTAGTCGTATCTATAAGGTAGTAGCCTTCTTAAGTTATTCTGTTTGAGCTTATATTTCATTGCAGGTGAACCGTTTTTGTTCACTGGTTGGTCAAAACATCTTAACAAGTGTTTCCCAAACCTTGTATATTCGACTCTTTTTTTCTTTATCATAGAATTTATCATTATCAAATATTTAAGTCCGCGCCTCCGCGGTTTAGTACCACGCTCTCGTCATACTTGTATATGTTAAACTGTGACAGCAGCAAGAGCGTTATGTCAAAGATGAAGATCTTGAACTCGCCTCTCAGACTCCTGTAAAACCGTGTTATATTTTTGCAATATCGTAAGGTAGGCATTAGCATGAGCTAAACTACATGTGAATTAGGGAATAATGTTCAACTGCTGTTTCTAGGGCAAAATTTGAGCTTATTTGGGAATCGTGATTGCGTGCTGCGGCTGCGCGCGTGGCCGCGTGCCATTGCCGCCAAGCAGAGCTGGGCAGCGCTACTTGGAAATGTAGCGGCGCTACCGCTACCGCTACATGCTCTAAATATAGCGGGCGCTACCGCTACCGCTACACCCACTAGATTGTAACGGGCGCTACCGCTACCGCTACAGTAAAATGTAGCGCGCTACATTAGCCGCTACTCCGTTTTCTATTAATTCCACGTTTTCTTTCATTTTTTTAAATTTACATCAACAAAAAGGTCTTAGATTTCTGTTTTACATATGTGTACCAAGTTTCAAAACGATCCGTCTGTAAACAAAAAAGTTTTGTTGGAGGGTAGCCGGTCCCCTTAAGTAAAATCTAAAGGCTTTATCTATAAATGTAGCGGTAGCGCTGTAGCGGCAAAACTTCGTATCGCTACTTAAATATGTAGCGGGCGCTACCGCTACCGCTACATTGCCTTAAATGTAGAGCCGCTACCGCTACTGAAAATGTAGCGGTCGCTACATGTAGCGCGCTACTGCCCACCTCTGCCGCCAAGAGTTCGCAACTTTGAGGTTCAAGAATGGCTTTCCACGGTTTGAGAAATAGGCTTATGGCTTGAAAATTCGTTAGTTCGCGGCTCAAAAAATTCAGTCGCGGCTCAGAGAGTAGATCTTTTCCTCCCCTGTTCTGTATTGCAACTATGCTAGTAAGAAGTAAATTTTGAGCCTAAAATCCTTCTAATTCTTATCCAGCATCTGTCTCTCTACAAATATACCTATACCTACATAGAAAAATCACTTAGGGTGCTTATGGCATTTACTCCATTGGGATAAATTTTGGCAAATTGAATAATGGTCAGTTTTCAGATACATTTGCTTCATAAAATAAATAACAATTTGAGTATTTGACTTACCATTTTGTAAATAACATATGGAAGAACTCCTAATATAACGGCTGCATAGACGAAAAAAACCAACGGCCTAATCCAAAGCCGCCACCTTGAACAAAGGTTGTGACAAGAACTACAACCACACATATTTGACCTTACAGCTGTGTCTGTCTACTGGAACTGTACAACAATTTGTGTTGTAAAAACTGAAAAAACATAAAATACTACTAACTCAACATTAAATTTTATCTAGTTTGTAAAACATGACGGAGAGTATTCACAGTTAACACTCATTTTATAATTGGAATTATTGGATTCAGTAGGGGTAGGGTGAAAATCCTGAAAATGAATTGCAATCATGAATTATCAAATCATGCATTTTCTCACACATTGTAATTTTGTAAACACAACAAAACACAAATTTTTCTTTTCATGATCAAGAATTCAAGACTGGGCATAGCCACATAGTTGCCAAGAGGCCTTGAAAACTGTAGAACTATACCATATATAATATCCTAACCTAGGTATAGGGATATTATCCTTAGGTTAACTGTGACTTCTGTCTGACATGCTGAGGCTCAGCTGTCAATTGATAAAGTAGGTAGCTGCATATCATGAATGCATATATATTATTAAGCCTCATACTATTAAGCTTCCAAGCCTCAGTTATTGACGTCTGCGTGGGCCCGTGGGGACCTCATTGAAGTATACAAGTATACTCATGGTCTATACAAGGTCCCTGAAGGGTTACTAGAATTTGAAACAAGAACCAACACCAGGGGCCATGGCTGTAAGCTAAAAAAACTGCGCTGCAATTTCTCCACGCGACAAAATTTCTTCTTGCTTTGAATCACCGACGACATGTGGAACAGCCTCCTCGATGACATCGTTGGCGGCTTGGCGCTCCGAGCCTCCAAGTATATACGCATTCAAGAACAGACTAGATAAAGCTATGGAAAAATATATGTTCAGATTTGAAATGCCTAGCTCCTTATCAAACCCGGTGGAAGTCTAGTAGGCTAGTAGCTACTTGAAACTATTGTCAGTCATGAAAAGATCCGGTCAAATGACACGATTTTAGCTCTTCTATGAACAAGGCACGAAAAGGAAAAGAATCGGCGACAGCGACAGGCCACATCAGGCCTACACTTCAGCGCCAACATTACTATGTTATGAGTTATGTTATAATGTTATATCATTAATTCATTACCATTAACATTAATTAATGTTTTAATTGCCATTTTGATTGGAAACCTTTAATTTTATTATAGTAATCAATGTAATGCTATTTACATTTACAAACCATATATTTAAAATTTGTCTTATAAATTAAATATGATAATTTGATATGTAGTGCGACTAGTGCCTACTGCCTAGTGGGCAGTGGCTAGTGCAAAGTAGCATCTAACGTGCAAGGCCCTGCACGGCTGCACCTGCTGTGAACTGCAAATTCCCAGTGCCAGTCTGTGCCACTAGAGTCTACTGTCTAGAGTCTACTTCAGTCTAGACTATGCCATGTAGCCTATATGCTGATAATTACACTCAGAATTATAGGAGAGAGAACGGGACTTGCTATAAGTATAATAATAAGGTAGCCTAATATTAGGCTAGTATGAGGCAGATCAGCAGAGGCTAGGTATGCTAGCCACCTAGCCTTAGCCTATGCATAGCGCCCAGCCCAGCAACCCAGCAGCCAGCATACTAGTAGCCTTAGGTAGGTACTAGCTATTTAGCTAAAATTTCGTCACTGAAGTTCTCAACTAATATTAATTTCAACTCAAAGTTGGGGAGTATCAAGTATTAGCTTTAATAATAACGAACAGTTTTTCCGTTTCTCAACTCGGAGAGTACCCATATCGCGCACAACACCTTCCTCCGCTACAACACTCTACTAATGACTAATTAATGACAATGAGTGGAGCTGTAATCGTTCTACAACAGCAAGTTTTAGATAGCGTCTCATCGTGACGCAAACAAATTTGATTAAAAAAAGTGTATTGATTGAAACCGATTTCGATTTGATGAGGAATCAATGGTTATCATCGTTCGTGTCTAAAATATCTGTTATATTATGAAAATCTATATAAGCATGATTTTTATTAAATTTACAGCGAGAGTTTTGCAAAAAAAGGTTATTTTGCTCTAGGTAGGTAGTGACTCTGACTCTTGTGACAATTGTTTTTCTGGTAAACGCTGTTTAATTAAATTCAATCATTTACGTTTTCGTTCTTTTTGCTTCTTTCAAATGTAATATTTGATGCCCGCTCTGATTTGACTAGTGTTATAATGATTGACTAGTGACCCTTCAAGTTTAATGTTCATGGTTTCAAAATATCTACCTAGGCCCCACAAGGGCCGCATTAGATTTGACACGAAATTCCAACGTCCATGGGTCTTTGCAGTAAGCGATTTATATATCATACAGTAGCGGAAATGGCTATATGACCACCCAGTTTTTTTTAATATTTTTTCTTGCATAGAGAAATACGGGATTCTAATTATACGAGGTCAAACTACGTTTAAGAACGATTGCAACAATATTCTAAAAAAGTAATTTTTCAAAATATATGAGAAAACAGGATGAAAATTAAAAAAAACCTAGATGATTTCCACCTAGTTTTTTTTTATTTACAACCCGTACAACCCGCCACCACCACCACCACCACCTTTGCGAAAAGCGGTAGAAGCCAACGGGACAGCGCAAAGTTAATAAAACGCGTAAAAAAACTATTGCACAATCATTTCTTGCTAATCCGGACGGCTACGGATCAAAATAAGCACCCTGCCCCAACCCAAAATTAACTGACGGGGATCTTAGGCGACTGTTTTCAGAGTCGTCTAAAATTGGCGCTACATCTACTTCTATAAAATTGGCCACTGTGGTTGATGTGACAGCACAACGCATCTATCAGATATTACAAGAAGAGGAAGAATGACTCGAAGATATTCAAGAACATGAAGAGGAAAAATACGCCGATGCTTAAAACAAAACCATATTATCGACCGACTAAAATTTGCTGAAAAAAAACGTGCTTATTGGTGAGGGATGGGACAAGATTATCTTCAGCAATGAAAAAATTAAATTTTGATGGTCCACATGGATGGCAATGCAATTGGCATTACCTGGACCGTGCGCCTGAATTCTTTTCGAACCGGCAATCTGGTGTTGGTTCGGTAATGGTTTGGGGTGCGTTTAGCCGAAAGGGAAAATCAACTATAGCTATTTTACGTGAGAGACAGGATTCTGAGGCATACAAGCACAATCTATTTCACCATCTTCTCCTTTTGCCAAAGAGAAACATGAGAGATCATGTGTTTTCCAGCATGACTGTGTCGATTCACACTTCGAAGTCAGCAAGCGTTGACTTCGTATAGCGTTGGAACCGTTTTAAACGTAGTTTGACCTCGTATAATTAGAATCCAGTACTTCTTTATGCAAGAAAATATATTTAGAAAAAACTTGTTGGTCGTATAATTACCTCGTTGACCTCGTATAATTGACCTCGTATTGACCTCGATTGACCTCGATTTACGTTGACCTCGTAAATTGACCTCGTATAATTAGAATCCAGTACTTCTTTTTCTAAGAAAATATATTTAGAAAAAACTTGTTGGTCGTATAGCCATTTTCTCAACTGTATATGACAGTAAGATTACTTCTTTGACTATTGGTAGTGGGATGTGGTGTGAGGGATAGGATTATCGATCACTTGACTGTTCACCTTGTCCTATCAGATTGTCAACATGGTTTTATTGCCGGTAGATCCTGCACCACTAACTTATTGTCTACGTTGAACGATTGGACTCGCCTGCTGGACGAAAGGGAGCCAGTGAACGCATTGTACCTCGATTTTGCCTAAGCATTTGACAGTGTTCCGCATGAGTGACTGTTGCGTAAAGTGAAGTCTTTGTGAATTGAGGGAAACGTACTCCAATAGATCAGAGATTTTCTAGTAGGTAGACGACAACGTGTCAGTATTAACGGAACCGTGTCAGACTGGGTCAGTGCGCGCGTAGGGGCGTGCCACAATTAAGGAAGCGTTCTTGGGCCTATTTTGTTCATTGCTTTTATAAACAATCTGCCAGCGTGAGCTCCATGTATACCGACGACACAAAAGCTTATAATACAGTGAAGGATGCGTCAAATAAAGCGCAATTGCAAGATGATCTTGACTGTTTAGTTAACTGGGCTGATACGTGGCAGCTTCGGTGTAATTCTGACAAGTGTAAAGTACTTCACCTAGGGAAGAACAATGAACAGCAAGATTTACAGTTCAAGCAAGATTACAGACATGGTTGCAACGAGAGAATAATGATTGAAGAGTCTAGTGTGGAAAAAAATCTCGGAGTTTATGTCGACAAGGAGCTGAAATTTTCTAAGCATGTTGATACGCAAGCTAACACATCCAACAAAATTCTTGGACTAATCAGACGCTCTTACGAGTTCCTAGATGCAGAAGCGATGAAGCAGTTGCTTGTTGCTGTCATGCACCCGAATCAAGAGTTTGGAAACGTTGTGTGGTCACCGAGATTTCAAAAGGACAAAAATTTAATAAAAAATGTTCAAAGACGTGCAACAAGGATAATTCCAGGCTTGAAGGGCAAGTCCTATGAAGAAAGATTAAAGATTATGAAGCTTCCAAGCCTTAGTTATCGACGTCTGCGTGGGGACCTCATTGAAGTACCTATACAAGTATACTCATGGTTTATACAAGGTCCCCGAAGGATTACTAGAACTTGAAACAAGAACGAACACCAGGAGCCACGGCTATAAACTAAAAAAACTGCACCGCAACTTCTCCACGCGACAACATTTCTTCTCGCTTCGAATCACGGATCACCGACATCGGCGACATGTGGAACTGCCTCCCCGATTACGTCGTTGGCGCTCCGAGTATGAACGCATTCAAGAACAGACTAGATAAAGCTATGGAAAAATATATGTTCAGACTTGAAATGCCTAGCACCATATCGAACCCGGTGGAAATCTAGTAGCTATTTCAAACTATCTTCAGGTTTGAAAAGATTCGGTCAAATGACACGATTTTAGATCTTCTGTGAACAAGTCACGAAAAGTACAAGAATCGACAATAGGCTACATCAGGCCTACTCTTCAGCGCCGACATCACTATGTTATAACGGTTTGTTTTATTTCGTTACGATACTTTATGTTTACTCACTTATCTTCACGATTCATTATGACTCTCAACGATTTGTTACGATTCGTTACGATTTGTTGTGATGCTTAACGTTTCGGTACGGCCCATACGAATTTTTACGATTCGTTACGACTCAACGATTTGTTACAATTCGTTATGACCTATACATTTCTTAACTATTCTTTACGATTCGCTGCGATTATTCACAATTCATTACGCTTCTTTACGTTTCTTTAAGTTTTGTTGCGATTCGTTACGACTATTTACTTTTCTTTATTATTTTTCACTATTCGTTACGATTTATTACTATGTTACTTGATCGGTTACGATTCGTTACGATCATTTAAGTTTATTTAGGATTCGTCAATATACATTACTTTTCTTTTTATTTCTTCGCGATTCGGTGCGATTCTTTGCAATATTTCCCACCAATTGGCGTAGCGCTTAAAAAAAGAACAAATGAATGAGATTTTGTCGTCCAATTTACGATGTAATTTTCATTCATGTGTATGTCATCCTGACCCGCTATAAGGGCCTATCAGTGCTACGTGCTGACGTTGTGTTTATATTTGGACAATATGACACATTAATAATAATAATAATAATAATAATAATATAGAGAGGTATATAGAGAGGTATATAGAGAGGTAAATAGAGAGGTATATAGAGAGGTATTTAGAGAGGTAAATGGAAAGGTAAGCAGAGAGGTAAATAGAGACATAAATAGAGAGTTAAATATAGTGGTAAACAGAGAGGTAAATAGAGAGGTAAATAGAGAAGTAAATAGAGAGGTAAATAGAGAGGTAATTAGAGAGGTAAATAAAGAAGTAAGAGAGGTAAAAAGATTTCAGAAGTGTATAGGTATAATGCCGACCATGACAAAGACATTTCAAAAGAGATGGCTGGCTGCAAAAAAGTAAATATCTCAGGCCCAATCACTACTAAATTGGAGTTTAACGGCCTTGCGAAATTCTTTCACTTTGTTTGGATAATTGAACGGCGGTCTATCATGTTCTTCTTATTGTTTATACTAGAACAATAATTAACGTACATTAGATCATTTACCGAGTTACTCGACGATGAAATTGATTAAAGGCACGTATAAAAATCCCCTAACTTGAACTGATAGGGGATTCTTACGACAAGAGAACAAGTAAGCTCAAATGCTGCATAGTTATAACAACACCAATGATAAACATTTATTTAATGATCGGGTTTCACTAAAGAAGCCTGGAAACCCAGTAATAAATTCATTGTAGACAAGAATTGTACATTGAATCATAAATTAACTAATTTTCTCCGTGGCTCACTGATGAAAGTTTCTTCTTGGCGTCATCGAGGAGCTGGACAATCCTGACCCTGAGGACAGCGTCCCGCATGGCGGGTCCATCGCCGGCGATGTTGCCGATGGCCCACACGGCCTGGTCCACGATTTCCGGGTCCGCGGACGACAGCAGCCGCGCTATCGGAGGCAGCCCTCCTGCCTCTGGCAACCGCAATCAATTTCGTTATAAATTTTTGTGCGTCGTTATAATCATTCGTGCGTCGTTATAGTCATTCGTGCGTCGTTAAAGTCATTCGTGCATTGTTATAGGGTTGTAATTTTTTTTGCTACCACGAAGCATTTTTTTGATGGATTATCCATGATTAACGCGCAACAAGGATAGCTCCGGGCATGAAAGGCAAGTCCTATGAGGAAAGATTAAAGATTATGAAGCTTCCAAGCCTCAGTTATCGACGTCTGCGTGGGGACCTCATTGAAGCATACAAGTATACTCATGGCTTATACAAGGTTCCAGAAGGATTACTAGAATTTGAAACAAGAACCAACACCAGGGGCCACGGCTATAAACTAAAAAAACAGCGTTGTAACACATCCATGCGACAACATTTCTTCTCGCTTCGAGTCACCGACATGTGGAACAGCCTCCCTGATAGCATCGTTGACGCTCCGAGTATGAACATCTTCAAAAACAGACTAGACGAAGCTATGCAGGAGCATATGTTCAGTCTTAAAATGCCTAGCAAATTACGGACCAGGCAAAAAGTCCAGCAGCTATCTCAATCAATCGTCAGTTATGGAAAGATCGGGTTCCAAAGGCCGGATCCCTTGTGAATCAAGTCACGAAAAGTTCAAGAATCGGCAACAGGCCATGGGCCTATTTCTCCAACGCCGACACTTCTATTCTATTCTATCTCTTTTCACTCTCCATGCAAGCACGCCCACTATCTCTTGTCACTCTCCATGCAAGCACGCGCACTATCTCCTCCGTGCAAGCACGCGTCTATCATAATATTTTCAAGAAGAAATACTCTAATCTCTTTAAAATTTTGTTCATTTTCATTTTCATATTCAAACATAATAATAGTATTAAGAATAATAAAAATAGAAAAATAATAGTATATAGAAATTGTTCATTGTCATTTGCAACACTTGACCGCTTCTTTGGCTTGTTTAGCAAAATTTTCTTTTTTTTTACTGCAGGCATCGAGATTTTATCACTGCAGCTCTCAAGTGCATTGATTGCATTTGCAAGAGGCTTGCTAGTGCTGGTGCTCGTCAATTGTCTTCTCAGTAACGTAAAGCGCCACCTCTCCCGTCATGCAGCCATTTATAAATCTTTCCTCTGAAAATTACAAGAGCAAAAGCCATCACTATTTCATTTTCAACGTCGGCCTGATCGCGGCCAAACCGTAATACCGCAGCGTCCAAGGTCGCAATCACGTCAGACGTGACCACCACGTGTAGTCTGGGTCGCACCGGTGCCTGAGGTCACTCGGCGCCCGGCGCTTAGAGAAAGAAGTTGTCGTTGGGGTCTGTCTGGCATTTCGTGAGTCGGGATGACCCACTCACAGGTGAAAATATATATCGCTAATTGGAAAATTTTTCCGTTTTTCCCGAGAGCAGCTTTTCTAAGGACCAACGTGAGGACTTATATCAATATACATTTTTGCAGGTCGCAGGAATAGCTTCCACATGGTGAAAATGTTGCTTTTGTTTACCTACACATTTGAATGCAGCATCACGACTGAACGCAAAAATTTTTCAACTGAAATCACTGTTTGTAGATGGAAGTGATCTTATTAATTATAGTTTATAAATTCCTTGAAAGTTATTGCTGAATTAAATACATTATATTTTAAGATGTAATTACAGTGCTAGACAGCGTCGGAGGTAGCAGAACTAAAGTACTTCAATGCTGAAGAATTGATGATGATATAAATTGGCAGATAGCATAGTTCTGCTTGAAAATTATAACTACACATCAAAATCGTGGGTTTTTTTAATTATTATATTTCATATAACATTAAATCTTTAAATTAAAATTTAAATCCAAAACCCCTCTATGTTCTGCGGTTCTGCCACTAAAAGCATAACAACAAATACACTTCATGCGCTGACGCGATCGGTACTATAATGTATAAGAAGGTCTCATTTGTGTATTAACAATTCCCGGAACCATACGCAGACAAAAATTTTTTTATGTAAACAATAGATATTCGAGTGTGTTACTGTGCTGTAAGCCTAACGCCTATTATTCAAATTTCTGAATACCGATTCCAACGACTATTGCTCTATTTTCGGAGTAACGATTCCAACGCCTATTATTCCAATTTCAGAATAGAGATTTCAGCACCTATTCTTCCAATTTTTTAATACCATTTCCAACGCCTATTATTCCAATTTCTGGTGACCGATTCCAACGCCTATTATTCCAATTTCTAAATACCGATTCCAACGCATATTGTTCCAATTTCTGAATACCGATTCCAACGCCTATTATTCCAATTTCGGAATAAAGATTCCAACGCCTATTATTCCAATTTCTGAATACCGATTCCAACGCCTATTGTTCCAATATCTGATTACCGATTCCAACGCCTATTATTCCAATTTCGGAATAGCGATCTCAACACAAAAACAAACTTACAGGCTCAGGCAATATACCAACACTGGAGCTATCATGACTACGCGCAATTACAGCCCCCGGACAGCGTTTGTACAGTCTGAAGGATGTCCCGCACAACTGTTCATGAATGCTTAATGGATTATATATGTAAATATCTGATTGATTATATCTATCTATATAATTGTTTAATGTTGTATCTATTATTCATTTATATTTTTTTCGCAAAATGAACAAAGATTATCTATAATCTAAACGGAGAGAATATTCGGATAGGTTCAATGACGCGTGATCAAGATCGTCGACGATTGGTGGTAGACAAATACCTTACCTAAAACTTTTAAGAGCATAATCAAGCTTCAGATCAAGCTCAATATACCATTCAAGTTTAGTTAATTGATAATCTTCTGTAATTTTTGTATCATGAGCGATTTTTTTCATGTTTTGAGGCTTCGTATTATCCTATACTATCCAAAATGAGTGGAATAATTAAACATGATTTTAGGCTCAGTTTTCATTTATTGGAATGTCATCATTGAATAATGCATACTAATATGCCATTTACAAAACACTTTACACACGGTCGAATGATAACGTTTCGTAGGTCAATTATATGATGGAAGTTGTCATAATCGTTGGATATTCAAAAGATTCTTGTGTTTTAGGCAGCTTCTGAATTTTTTAGTTTTGGTCTATTCGTGATTTAGCATTAATCAAGAGAACTAAAAGATTCAAATAATGTGAGGCAATAATGTCCTACTCTCCCTCACATTATTATCTCAAAGACATCTTCCCCTTCTAATGCACGGCCAGCATAACTGCTTGGCTGGCCACGCCTGGCAACTCTTCTTATAATTTCAATACAATTACGAATTTCTGACAATGGCAATACAATTACATCCCTTCTCACGATTACAATTCAATTATTACTCTTATTACAATTAAAATACATGTGCAACCTTTCTTAAAATTAGGGTACAATAATATTCCTTACAGTTACAATGCAATAACAACCGTTCTTACAATAAGAATACAATTAGGCTACACTCCTTATTATTCTTACAATGGGGTTTACGTTTATAATTTTCTTCCTGTAAATCAGCCCTGGATCAGAGAGATGGCCAGTAATTCTTGATTGGCTTCGTTCTGCTCAAACGCGGCTGCCCCGGCCAATATTGCACCGGGTTCGACTCTAACTGTACTGGACTGTTTTGTTATACATTTCTTTCTCTTTATCTCCATATTTCTTTCACCATAATAAACTCAATCAATTGGTATTAAATAGGTCCCGATTGGGTTCCTGTTGAATAGATTCGTCGTAGGTTCATGTTTTTGCATGTATTCTTTCAGCATTATTTGTAGAAGTAGCTTATTCTTTTGAGTTTAATTCGATTCAGAGGCCTTCGTTTTTTTAGACTAGCGATGCAGTCAGCCATGTTTCTTGAAGTGCTTCTTTTCGTTTCGTTTTTCTTCTTCGCGTCGCTTGCATTCAAGAGATACCGGAAGGTGAGACTCGTTTCATGCATAGTAAAAATTTGATCCATCCTCTAAATGTAATATAATTATCAAATTCAAAATACAATAATAATGTAAGTGTAGCAGGTTCATCAGCTTGTTGATGTGTACGACCAGCAAAAAAATAAGAAGAAAAATACTTATTTTTTTATTCAAGAAGCAGGTGAACGCTTTTCGTTCAGGTTTTGTTTGAAGTGTAGCAGGTTAATTTAATGCAGCATGCATGAAAATTAAATTTTTTATTAAATAAAATTCAATGTCATTTAATTTCTGTGATCCATATAACTTTTTGGCTTTCCAGATTACCCAACCATTAATCCAATTTCGGATTCTTATTAAAAGTCGAAAGAGGATTAAAATGAGGCAATTTTTTCAATCAAACACTGTATTTTGAAAATTTTTACTTGGATTTAATCTCAGCGTTGATTTTATTCACGTCCAGCTGATCTGGAAACAAAGATATTTTTAAATTACCAATAAGGTATTAGAATAGAATCTGTCAAGTAAGTTATCTTTATCGAGGATATGATAAAGATTTTCCTTAAGGGAATGATGAATTCTAAATGGTGTTTGCTTTGCTACAAAATTCTTGGTTAGCTGCTCCCTGCTCTTTCATGATATGAAATAAGAAAAAAGTTATCGCATTGACCAGGGATTATACGGGGTTCCGAATTGTCAGTACAATGACCGTTTTAATCAATAATTATATTCTTTCCGCAAACCTTTGCTATTTACAAAGATTTCATTATTACAAATCTGTTGTGTACTACAAATGTGTTGTGCATTACAAATGTGTTGTGCATTACAAATGTGTTGTGCATTACAAATGTGTTGTGTACTACAAATGTGTTGTGTACTACAAATGTGTTGTGTACTACAAATGTGTTGTGTACTACAAATGTGTTGTGTACTACAAATGTGTTGTGTATTACAAATGTGTTGTGTACTACAAATGTGTTGTATATTACAAATGTGTAGAGTATTACAAATGTGATGTGTATTACATGTTGCATATTACATAGTACATATTCTCTCTCATTCACACTATCTCACTATCACTATG